CTCTAGCATCTTGAGCTCTCGTTCTAAGTCCTCAAAGCAGTCTTTAACAGTGGCCGTTGCATGTGACGTGTATTGTTGACAAAAAAGCTTAATCTGCGTTTTCCCCACCTCCCACCATTGAGCCAAATTGCAAAAGACAGTTTTCCTTTGTTTCCAGTGGCACCAGGAGTCAGAAAAAGCTAGACAGAGCTCTTTGTCATGAATCAGTTGCATGTTAAAGTGCCAGTGCGAACAGATGTTAGAGTGCATCAATAAAGAAATATCTGTAGTCACTAAATGATGATCAGAAAACCACTATGTAATTTTGATAAGTTATAATTAATTTTATGAAATAACCGTACACGACCTGCAGCTGAGTTATGGGTGTATACATTCATAAAAGCAAAAGGTATTCCCTTGATGGTTGCTTGTACTACCTGTGCCCTTCCCTGCTCTATCTCACAGACGGAAACATGCCCACTCCAACTCATTCCCCATTCCGTCTCATTATCTATAGTGCTATGTGTTTCCTGTAAAAAGAACACATCAATGTTTTTGTTCTTGCTAAGTTCCACCAAAACTGCACGCCTTTCTCTATCCCTACCCCCATTAATGTTAAGCGTCCCCACTCTCAAACTCGCCATATAAGACAGAGAGAACAGGAAGAGAAAGAGAAGGAAGACAGTGAAACCCTTCCAAAAAAACACCCTTAGTGCTCTGAACATTTTACTGCGCTTTTAAAGGAGTTTTTCTTCGTTTCTCCCTCCTCAACTTAGTCAGGATCTTTTTTTAGGCGGAATCTTTTCTGTTTGCTCAATTGTTCATAACCAACAACTCTCCTTGTTTTCAAAACAGATTTTATAAAAAGATCGACATCTGGAAAAAACTCCGACTTCCACAGACTGCATGCCAAATGTCTCATCCAAAAAGCGAGGAATACGACTGCTGATGTTCATCTTGAGAAACAATATCAGAGAACTGTGACAGGGAATCATCTTCCAACAAGTCGTCTTTCTCATTTTCCGCACTCAAAGAACCTGAAATTACATTTTCATGGCCTACCGCACTAGCCGGTGCTTCGGTCTGTCCACTGTCCTGATTTTCCTCCACACTTGTCTTGTCCTGTCTGTCATCACTTCCATCCTCCACCTCATTGGTCCCCTTTACTATCCCCAGTTCTTCTAGTGTAGCCTGTGGAGCACTGGCTGCGACCTCCATTCTGTCACCCTGCGCCGCTAGCGGCTCGCTGTTGACAGCGCTGCGCGTAGACGACTGCCCGTCCGCACCGCTACAAGCAGGCTGTTCTCTCATGCTGGCATCTACAGGACGCTCCTGCTCACTTGCTCCACTAGCATGAGCCTCTTGTTCACCTGTGTCACCGCGCACTTCCTGCTCTTTCTGAGGGCAGGAAGAGCATTTATGGCCAACATCACCACACTCAAAGCACTTCATGCTACGTGCACTTGCATAATCAGTATATAAGCTGTTTTCATATCTCACTTTAAACTACACTTGCAGTGTCTGTGAAGGATCGTTTAGATACATGAAGGCCTGCCTTCGTAGAGACTGAACATGCTGCAGTCTGGCATCTTTGCAGCCACGGCGAACAACCCTGAACCCACTAGCAAACTTTCCAAAGTGGGTCAGTTCCTTTTCAAGCAGTTCATTTGGGATGAATGGCGGGACACTGGACACGGTGACCCGTGTAGATGGCACAAACAGTGGCGAAACGGCCACAAATAAATCATCCAAAATGATCCCCCTTTCAACTAACAGGTGAACCAAGCGCTCCTCACGGAGAAAGGCAACCACAGCCTTGTTCACCCGAGAGCCATAAGTTATGTTCTCATGGCCCACCTGTTCACCAACAGCTAGCAAAACCTGCTCCACGGTGTACTGCTGGGGTGCCACCACCCTGGCCCCATGTCTAACAGACAGGGGAGGCGAACCCTCACTAGGGAGGGACGCCATGACTCAAGGTAAAACTGGCCAATTAACTAAAATTCTTCACTTCACTTCACACAATGAAATAAACGTGCCTTACCTGTTAACCACCCATAAAGGCCAAAGTTTTCTGGAAAAAAACAGTCCAAACGTCCCAAACTCACTCAGCAGCTCCACGCACTCACCAAACACCTTCACACACCCATTCACTCACACTCCCAGCATGCAGTGCAGGAAGAAGAGAAGGGAAGAGAAGAGAAGAGAAGAGAAGAGAAGAGAAGAGAAGAGAAGAGAAGAGAAGAGGTTTGTGGTTTCCATGTGGCAATTTAAACCCAGGCGCCTGCTCTGCATATGGAACCAATTTGAAATGTGAAACTATAGGGACTCCTTGAAAGAAGGATGACTGCCAATCAGATGATAGAAAAACAAGTATTTAAATGCCAACCAAGCTCTTTTCAAATTTTGTATCAAAATATATCAGGTTACACTGTGTTTTCTGGTCCTGTATATCTCGTCTCAGAGAGTTTCAGGCTGTGTGCATCTTTTTTCCTTTCAAAGGTTACATTTGCTGTGACTGTAACTTACAGGAGAGATTAATGGCAGTTATATGGTTGGATTATCTGTCTGTTAAGAAGCTTAATCAAAAACTTATTGATAGATTTCCATCAAAATTTTACCAGAGGTGGGCCAAACTGACAGAGGAGCTGGATCTAAGAATCTAAGGATTCTTACCCGCTGTGAGATACGGCAAAAGCAAACAAACCAAACTAATATAAGTACAAGAAGCACAAACCACCATTAAGGCAGCTCACTCTCTGGGCAGTATTTACTTTTAAGGGTATAGTGTTGTATTTTATATATATTCATTTTGTTTTCATATAAATATACTTTTAAAGGTTTATCGTGAAGTGAAAACAAGTGAAAAGTGAAGCTTTTGTTGCTTTATTCTGTTAAAACCTGTTTTAATATACCTGACAATTTTGCCCATATTTCTTATGATTTTTTTCATTGATGTGTATATGGCACATGTGTAGCATTCATTTTACTGTTAGGTAAAATCTGTTCACGTTTAGTAATAAATATCAAATGAAAAACATTTCCTCACCACAAGTTTATTTTGTTTTCCAAAAAAATGAATTTTACATTGTCATGTAAAATGTCATAAAAGTTTGAAACTGATCAACAAAACTTCCTGAAGTCTAACGCATCAGTCATTAAGGCCTACAGTCTAGTCTACAATTAATGCAATATTCATTGTTACAACACTTGCCTAGATTTTAAGAGAATCTTTTTTGCTGGCAGGACCATTATACCAGTGACTGCATAATTATTATAATTATCATCCATGAGCACAACTCCTAAGTAGCAAAATACATTTTTATGTAAAGCGAATCCTTTCAGTCTTTTGCTTTGCTCTACAGTATCTTTTACAGAATACAATTTTATAAAATACAACTTGAGATTAAAGAAATGTGAAAGTTTGTAAAAACTAGGCTCACTTCTAATGACTACAACATACATTTTGACAAAAGATTAAAGTTAGGTTGTTGCTTCCAGCTGTTCTGAGAAGTCTTCTCTTAATTTATTGAAAACCTGCTGCTTCACAAAGGCAGAATCCATCCAAAAAGTAGCACATCAGTCGTAAGTGATGATAAATTAACCCCAATGTGGGGACAAGATCAATAAGGAGCTAATGACATTGTACACTTTATGTTCGTGAAGTAAGCTGTCACGCAAAGTCACAGTTTATTACCTCAATAGTTAATTTGTATACATGAATTCTCTCTAATTATCTAAGTAGCTGCACAAATACTGCTGCCTTGTTAAGAGCATTCAAATAGACTGCACTTCTCAGTGGTCATGACTTACGGTCAATGAGAAATGCACGTGTGCAAGGCCAACAGCACCATCTGCACCAGCTCTCCTCCATTAGTCACCCAGAAATTTAAAACAGCTTGTGCTGAGAGGAAAACATAGCAGAAGAAACAGACCACAAAAGAAAGCAGAAGAAAGAGCACTCTTGAAGAGTCACCCAACAATGTCCTTGTTTTCTGTTTAAAAAAATAAATAAAACGCAGATGCATTTCAGTTAAAACACCACAGTGTAACAATTTCAGTTGTGCATATAACTTATCTATATGCTGGTGTGTACTCATTTCCAAATTCCTTTTTATCAGCGCAAAACTGCAGTTTTAGATGGTTTCACACTGAACCAAGACCATGCACAAAATATAAACTGGCAATTAAATGAAAGAAAAAACATCTGCAGCTGAAACCAACACACAGCAGAGTGTGTTTAAGGCAGAATTACAACAACTGGGGCTGAGAACGGAAGGGAGCAGCCGACAGCAGTAATCACACACATGCATGAGGTCCTGCTTAGCTGTCTGTTGTGTACGTGGTCTTTAAATATGCACACTTCCATTACACTACTTTTACATGGCAGTGTCCTTATTATTTATAGAGTGGGGAGTTCTGCTCACTAAGATTCCATTTTACAATGCCGGTGTGAGACTGGTGCTCTGCAATGTACAAACAGTCCACATTTAGGACCTACAACTATATTTTTTCCACTACTAGTTATAAACTCATTTAACATATGAAATATGTGGTCGACTGTACTATGCACTCTCTGAAACAGACACGTGGATCTGCCTACTCAGCACTTGACTGAAAACTTTCAAAGTGTTCCGTCTTGTCTCAGACTGCAAGGCTGAAGGGGAAACTGCAGGAAGACAAAAGAAGACTCTCACCATGGTGCGTGTCGCTGGTCGAGCGCATTACCCTTATCTCATTTATCACACAGACATCCCCTTTGACTGGAGGTTGCTGAATCTCCACACAAGCATGAGACAGCCGGTGGTCCTGAAGTTGCAACGGCCACGGGCCAGTCGGACAACAAAATTTCTTCTAGTCTGAAAACTGCTTGTTTTGCTAACTAAAAACTGTTTTTGCTTCTAATATGTCATTTTCCAGAAGTTATATAACCAGGTCCTTAATTTTGTATCTGCAAAGTTCAAAAAAGTAGCCTACGGGGTGTCGCGAGCGCCGTTCTCTCTCCCAGGGGAACGCGCAGCTGCTACGCGAGCGTCTGGGAAATGACTTTTCAAAGTAAAAGCCGTGGTGTTTAAGGAGGGACTGCCTGCTCAGTGTGAAATTTGAGATGATTCCTCCCTGAAAACATAACAACGCGTCTCAGAACCGGCAGACAGTTTAAGGCAGATATAGGAACAAGAAAGGAAGAAGGCAGACAATCCCCTGTTACTGCAACAAGAACTGTGACCAGGAACTTGACTGTTACAAAACAAAGCAAGCATGATAACGAGGCGGCTATGGCTCAATAGGGTTGAATTAAAGAGTAAAAAACGCTATATAAATACCACTCCATTTACCATTTCTATAGTTTTTCTTTCAAATTATTGATATTTTAATCTCTAGACATGAGAATTATGAACAGTCTTACATGCTGGTGATCCTCTTTGTGTGCCACTAACGCAACGCCAGCTCGTGAGATCTAAAGTCTGTATTACAAAGCAAGACTGCTATCCCTGTGTAGCAGAGAGTACCAGAGCCACAAATTAATGTTCCTGGCACTGTTCAAGGTGTACTCTGCCTCTCTTATAGTAGCACCTTTGATAGGCTTCAGCCCCCTTGAATTGGATACATGGTTAAGAGGATGCATGATTAATGAATTAATGGATGGATGTTCCTTGCCTGCAACACTTTTTAAGTAGGTGGCAAATTATCGACCATGTGAATACTGAATACAGGGTTTCCCAAACGTGTATTGCCAAGATAATCATTATCCTTCCACCAGTTTGCCTTCTTCGTGTATGCTGATGCACACATCACATACACATGTACCCAGCAGTAACACAGTAAATATTGGCTATAGCAAGATCCCTTTTGTTTGGTTTGTTGTTTTATGTTTCAAAGTGCTATGTGTTACTCTTTGTTAATATTTAAAATGTTTATAGTTTTTTTTAGCTATTAGTAAGGTATTACGAAATGTTGATGAGGATAGGTGTTTGTGAAGGTACTGATACTGAAAAATGATCAATAACTTTGTGACTGCAGATTTGAGGAATGAGAGGGCACAAAGTTTAACCTTGAAAGAGTTTCTATCAGGGGGCAGGGGTGTAATTTCCAGGGGGGGGTAGGGGGGTTATGACCCAAGATATCTTGCTTTTCCAAAAAAGACTTCAACTGAATATAATGAACAATCTTTTGGAAAAGTAACGACAGCTTAGAGATAGCCCTAAAATTAGCTAACACAGTTTGATCAAGATCAGATCTCTTAATTGAACGTTGCACAGCTGCAGTTTTTAAGTTTCCAGGGACTACACCAGAAGACTGACTACTATTAATGATGGCAAAAACTGACTGCCCTATACTGGGAAAAACCTCTTTAAAAATTAAGGAGGAACAGCATCATGCAGAGGACCTGAGGGCTTAATGTGATGAACCACATCTTCTAAGAACACAGAGACACAGGCTCAAACTGGTTAAAAACAGCAGAACAAGGGACCGAGGCTTACAGGTCAAAAACAGGGGTTGAAATGAGAGCCCTGGTGGTGACAACCTTACCAATAAAAAAAAGGGAGGTTTCAAAATAAAGGCATTAAGAATGTAGTCGATAATTTTAAACAGCAGGCGAGAGTTACAACAGTTTGCTGCAGTCATCTTTGTCTCATCTTTTAGCCTGTTTTAAGGTATTTAATACAGACGCCAACAATCTTTTAAGATTTGAAAGGACACCTGCAACTTGTCCTTCTTCCGCCTTCGTTCAGCTCTTTGGCACTCCCGTCATTGAACCAGGTTTATCAGATCTAGCTTTTGGCTGTTTCATTTTTAGTGGCACCACAGAGTCTAAGATGGTTTTGCAGGAGGAAGTGAACCAGGCACTAAGCTCCTCTGGATTCACAGAGTCACCACAGAATAGATCAAAAACAGCAGAGAACTGATCAGCAGTGAAAGGGTTGAACATCCGACAGCGCCGAACACGTGTTCGTAAGTATAGCACAAGACAACCCAACCTCATATGATACAGACATATGATCAGAGAACATAGTGTCACAAATCTCTAGGTTTGACATGGGCATACCAAACTGTATGAGAGGACAAGATCCAGTGTGTTTATGAGTAGGACCAAACACAGACTGCACCAAATTTAAAGAGTCAACATTTTAAACGTCCTGCACAAATGATTTATCAAGACAACATTATAAAATCTTCAGTAACAAGGCCACAATCATAAGAACAGTCAGCTACAAATAAAAAACAAATACAAAACACTGCTTATATTTATAGTCATCTGGTCAACATCCATGGGCAGTGTACTTTTCACTTTTAAATCAAAGCAGATTTAAATGAAAAATTTGTCATGATAAGATAAATGTTAAAATTAGATTCGTTTTTACAGCTTAATGCATAGCTTTTCAGAAGAGTGTCTCTTTTTAAATTTACAGTAATCTGATGAACATTTATTTAAGTAGATCTAGATGCTGTGAGATCTGACAGGCCAAGATGATGGTCCAGTTCGTCAGCAGGCGCAGATAATTACGGCTTCTGTTAGAAATGACCCCTGCCAGGGCTGTGGCTGACGTACTGTGTTAATCTTGAGGAAGGTTGAGGATGACATCTGGTGTTCAGTGAGGGTTTTTGTCTTACTTGTGTTGGGTTGAAGAAGCCTGGAAATGAAAGTTTGTCAAGAAGAAGAAGAAGAAGAAGAAGAAGAAGAAATGTCTTACTTCACTTGTTTAGGTTTAAAGTGTTTTTTACATTCATTCAAAAAATTAAACATAATTCAACAAAATTTTCCATAAGCATGTTATTTTTCTTTGTAGTTTTTTCTTTAAACAACACTGAACATTTCAGTATTAAAAAGATATTTCCATTATGCGATTTATCACTTGAAACAACCATTTATAGATACCATGTTCTAATAATACACAGTTTTAATCAGTGGTCCTATTAATGGTTACAACATTATTTACTTTAATGAGTTGTAAGGCAGTATAGGGACAGGGATTGCCAGACTGTTGAACATTATTCTTGGTTTTTAGACACATAGAGCAGCTTATTTGTGCATGTTATCATTTACAACTGCAGTTCTGATGGCTTGCAAAAATAAAATTTTGAATGTTTGATTCCTCAGAGAAGGTTAACATAGATGCATGGGTATCAGATAGGTTGATTGTTTGTCTGACTATCAGAAGGTTGTGCAAAAAATGACCAAGGCACACTTAAACACGGTGGAGAGCTGGGAAAAGAAACAAGTATACTCTGTGGGCCCTTCTAGTTTCCATTTGAAATTAAATAAGCAGGTGTGTGGGAAAATGATACTTAAGTTGTCTAAGAGATCCAAAAAAATATATTCTCTTAGAAAAATAAAAGCCTGTACTTGTATGGGTGTCACCCTCATCTCGCTCTCAGGTGTGCTGACATACAACAGCCTGTAGATGGTGACACTGTTGTGTTTTGAAACTCTTAAGCTTAAACTGGTAAAATGATGTGATTGTTTTATTGTTAATGCTCCCTGAGATTTTAGTAAATAAATGAACTGTTTGTACTCTGAAAATATTTAACATTTATGAGCAGAATTGCTTGAACAGTAAAAAGTAAAAAGAAGGAGAAATCATAACTTAAATGTTATCAGTTTTATTAAGCGTAACTTTTAGCTTCTTTTATAGAAATTCTACTTGTACTGCACTTGTACTTGTCCTTCTCTAGAGAACACCTTAACTCACCTCAAAAATTCAAAAAGTAAAACTTTTTTTAATGTGTTTATTTAGTTATTTTTAATCTATCCAAGCGTGAGTGCAATGATCCACAAAAAGAAAAGAAGAGCGATATGGAGAGTGTGTGTGAGCGACAGTGTGATAGCAGAAAGCTAGGCTGATGGTTCTCATCACCTCTCTGACCTTTCTGGCTGCCTGGCAACCCACTCACTCAGCACTGGTGTTCATTACTGTCCCATTATACAATCAGCTGCTTCATCTGACTCTACTGGCCTCTGACCCTTCGCTCTGAACCTCCCGGCCACACGACCCCTACAGCTCACGCTTCATGACATTTGAGCTGAATAAAAGATCTGTTAAACAGGGAGCTCAGTGTGCACAGAAAACAAAGGCAGGTTTTTTGTGCAGCTGAGTGCACACCCAGTTAACTGTATGCATTTACAGGGCATATGTGAACCATCTTCTACTGTATTAATCCTTTCTTTTAGGCTGCCGTGGCATTTCGATTATTTCCAAACCACAGCGAGCCTCATAGATGTTTCCCTGCCACACAGCGAGAGCTTTGTTCCATGATGAGATTCCTTTAACTTTACATTA